GGTGCCGGCGGGGCGGCTCCTCCCGAGGCCTTTCCTCGTTGTGCAGACGGCCGTCTCCTCCCCGTGTCCTCACCGGTCGTCCCTGTGTGTGTCCGTGTCCTCATCGCCTCTACTTATAAGGACACCAGTCCTATGGGACCAGGGCCCGTCGCCTGACCTCACGTTGCCTCAGTTCTGTCTCTGAACAGCCCCATTCTGAGGCCTGGGGTTAGGACTGAGCGTATGGTTATCATGGGGGCACCGTTGGCCCATAGCAGCAGGGGAGGCGGCTCAGTTACCTCCGCACCCCTGAGCTTAGCATGCGGAGCTCAGAGGGGTCCGGTGGGGAGGAGGGTGGCCACGACAGCCAGGCCCTCGAGTTGACGGCAGCTCCTACTGGCTGAGCCCTCGGCTGCGAGTGAGGGTGGAGGCGCGGGTGGTGGTGATTGGCGCTTAATGAAGCTCCAGGGCTGCGGCCTGGGTGTGGGCGCCGAGGCCCAGAGAGGTGAGGCGGCATCTGCCCAGGACCCCGGCTGGCGAGGGCGCTAAGATGGTGCTTAGAGCACCCGCGAAGGGGGCCCCAGAAAGGCCCGCGAGGCTGCAGCGCGAACCCTGTGCGTTTCCCTCCAAGGCAGCGCCCCCTCCGGGAGGCGTGGAAGGGACTCGCTGGGAAGCGGACGCTGCCTTTGTGCCCGCGTTTAGCTGTAGGAACAGAGTGTTACTGTGAAATGGATGTTTCATGGAAGCCACCAGCGTGGCCTTTGATGGATCGGAGTGGCTGGTGCAGAGGCTCCGGGGCTGTGTCCTAAGCTGCCCTCGGGGCAGAGAGGTGACTGGAAGGTGGAGAGAGCGAAGGTGGAGAGAGCGGAGAGAGCGCTGGTCTCTGCCTCGGGGGTCGTGGCCTCCAGCTACCCCAGTGAGATTGCTGGGCGGGCCCGTCCCAATTTAACTGTTTCTGGGAAATCACGTCTTATTATGCTTATTTTATTTTATTATTTATTTATAAATACTTTTTATTGATTTCAGAGAGGAAGGGAGAGGGAGAGAGAGAGTCACTGATCGGCTGCCTCCTGCACGCTCCCCACTGGGGATCGAGCCCGAAACCCGTGCATGTGCCCTGACCGGGAATCGAACCCGGGACCCTTCAGTCTGCTGGCCGACGCTCTATCTATCCGCCGACCCACACCGGCCAGGGCTGTTATGCTTATTTTAAATACAGCTCACCTGCGGGCATCTCCTGA